TACGAGATAATCATATTTGGAACGAGAGGCGTCGCGGCTATAATATATAATTGGTAAGTGGGACTTGCATTTGTCCAACATGTAGCGTCGCTGCGCTATCGCCGTCGCCACCGCCGCCGACCCGCGTCGCCGCGACGCTTGTTTCGCGTAAGCTGACCGCGCGCGGGACAAATTGCTCCGCTTCATTATCTTAATTACGCATTTATCCATAAGTATGGCGTACGTTAACATACAGCGAACATATGGATAAATGCATAACTAAGATAGTGAAGCGGCGTAATTCGTCCCGCGTGCCGTCAGCTTACGCGAAACAAGCGTCGCGTCGCGGCGCGGGCGACGCGTCGGCGGCGGTATACGTCTCGATTTTCGGCCGAACGAGTATTGCGATTACGCATCCGATCGAATCAGAGTTCGAAGATTGATCGGATGCGTATTTCGCAATACTCGTTTGATCGACAATCGAAATATATATGTAGCGTCGGCGTCGCCGCGCGCCACTGTTGCCGCCGCTCTTGCCGACGCGTTGCCGCGCGCCACTATTGCCGCCGCTCTCGCCGACGCGTCGCCGCGCGCCCCTGTTGTTGCACCGACGCCGCCGCAGCGCGTACGATGGCGCTATTGGCACGCGAGCCGCGAAGTTGATCGCGCGGATAGACGACACCGCTCCACTATTTTAGTAGCGTTTCTTTTATCGTTTCAGAGAACTCGATACGAGAACGAGATAGAGCATCTTCGGAACGAGAGGCGTCGCGGCTAATATAATTGGTAAGTGGGACTTGCATTTGTTTAACATGTAGCGTCGCCGTCGCCACCGCCGCCGACTCGCGTCGCCGCGACGCTTGTTTCGCGTAAGCTGACCGCGCGCGGGACAAATTGCTCCGCTTCATTATCTTAATTACGCATTTATCCACAAGTATGGCGTACGTTAACATACAGCGAATATATGAATAAACGCATAACTAAGATAGTGAAGCGGCGTAATTCGTCCCGCGTGCCGTCAGCTTACGCGAAACAAGCGTCGCGTCGCGGCGCGGGCGACGCGTCAGCGGCGGTATACGTCTCGATTTTCGGCCGAACGAGTATTACGATTACGCATCCGATCGAATCAGAGTTCGAATGCCGAATCTATATTACGCGCTAATTAGATGCAAGATTGATCGGATGCGTATTTCGCAATACTCGTTCGACCGAAAATCGAAATATGTAGCGTCGACGTCGCCGCGCGCCACTGTTGCACCGACGCCGCC